GAAGAAATAATCAGGAAAATATTGGAATGTGCAGAGATGGACAGATTAACTATGAGGTTGAAAGATAAAGAAGATACAGACTACTATCAAATTTGGAATTTATTTTATTCTTGGTTAGAGAAAAGAATGAAGGATTAGGAATTGAACATGTATTAGCATAGCAACTCCAGACAACTTGTTGATTGGAAAAATTAACATACTGTATGTTGATGAAAAAAAAGTAATAAAATAAAAAAAAACTTTCCTCTATAAAATGCAGCTCTTCATATTTTGTTCAGTCACGGATTTTTTTGCACTAGTTTCTCTAGTACCATATATTATACATTTGATATCAAATCAGAAAATAATAAAAGAAAGCAAAAACTTTGTCAGTCATAGGAAAAGAATCTTTGGATCTAATGGATTGCTATTGAAACAGAGCCTTCTGTTGTTTAGTCATCATAGCACATTGCCAAGCTTTTTATTGTAAATTATTTAAATGATATTGATTTTAATTTTTGATTAAGACTTTAATTGCATTGGTTTTACTATTACATATTATATTTTTAATTGTAAATAGCCTTGAAAGTTTACATGAAAGCTAGACTATATTGATTTATCAATGAATAAACAAATGTTATTCAAAATACTTTATCACTATTATGTTAATTTTTTGACATGGGTTACAGAACATAGCAAAAAAATAAGCACACTCTGCTAGAGAGAAATTCCCTGAAGATGGGCTCCACATGAGTCCAAAAGCTCGGAAGACTAAATCTCTAGTCCCGATTGGATCCTGCAAAAAGATAAATGTTTGTAGGCAAATTGCACAGAATAAGAAGAAGTACATAAGACCCAAACTAGTATAGGTTTGTCTTCAATATTGACCAAAATATGTTTAATATTCTTCTTTTATCTATTCCCTGTTTGTGAAGAGTTCTTGAAATTTTTGCTAAATGAAAATTTAATCTTGTGGAATTTTTGCTTTATACTAAAGGTGTGAAGCCTACCTTCATTAAGCTAAGCTCTAGTGTGACTTATTTTTAACTAAAAATGTATAGTTTTGCAATGTTAGTTTCTTAGTCACTGGTCTGGGACATACACCATACTATCCTATTTGAATTTGCTTAGTTTGTGTAAAGCCACAGTTGTGGATTATAAGTCATATTATCACAGCCTTCCCAACTCTGTGCACTCTCTGTAGGAGTCAACTTCAACACCCAGAATTACCTAATTAGGAAAGCCACTACTGAATTCAGCTGGTAGCTGAAATTTCCTGCCCTTGGAAAATCCCTGTATTAGAGAAAGGCTGGGTTAACATATTATACAACCCGGTTAGTTATGGTTCATGCAATCAACCATTCTTAACCATGGCAAAGTGCTCTGTGCTCTATGCAAATTGACACCATGTTATGCCAGTAGACAGATGTTCAGGATTGTGGATACATCAGTTGGTTCATCAATAAATAGTTCATCAAGTCTGTTCCATTGAATTCCCAAACTGTCTTTTGGGATGGAGTGCACAGGACATATTGTGCAATAATACAGTGGAATGTTTCTGATTTAACCCTATATAATAGATTGTAAAACTTCTCCTAATGTTAAATGCTTGGTTTTTGCTTAGCAAATGATAACTTGCATAACAGCACATTTCTCATATTCTTTAGGGGCTTAGTGGCACTTCAGACTCTTCGTAAATTAGAAGAGCTCACTGGAAAGCCCATTCATCAACTTTTTGACTACATTTGTGGAGTGAGTACAGGTAAATTTTCCTGAACTACTGTAATGATGGAAAAAGCCAGTTATTTCTTTTGGAAATGATATTGATGTATTGAAAATTAAAGATGGTTTAATTTTCTTTTTAGATTTACATATATCAGATTTATTGAAACCAAACAGAACAACAGAAAAGTGGTAGATTAACAAGAGAAGAAATTGAAAGGGTATCAAAGCAATCTCTTAGGAAAATACACACCAAATGGGTTGAAGACCTGGAAACAGCATATTCATCTGGAACTCCACTGTGATTCAATATTGTAGATTATCCTTGTATAAAACATGAGGAGCTAACTTCTCACACATAACAAAGTTCTGCTTCAAAGTATATGCAGGAAGGCGGGATTAAGTGTTTGTCTGCAGACTTTATATTCCTGTCCTGTCCTGTTTTGTTGTTCCAAGACAGCAAAATAGGGTAGCTGGTTAATTTAATACACTTTGTAGTAATAATGTATCACAGATATTGCAGTGCGTTCTGAATAGAGCTGGTAAGTGATGTTTCAGGTGTCACACTATAGTCTTAAACACTAGGTGGAGCTGTACATGAATCTTTAATTATCATCTGTTGATTTTTCACAGGAATGCCTTCAGTGAGATGTGCAAATCTTCGGAACAGATAATATTTATTTATTCAATTTCTATAGCCGCCCATCTCAATCAATGACTGGGTGGCTTACAATTTAAAAAACATATTACAATTAAAACACTAGAAACATTTTAAGGATTTAAAAAAATGCATATCAGCAACACTGAAAAATTTTAATGTTATATGGAAACCGCTATATAATGTTATCAACCATCCTTTCATAAACCATGATCTTCCAAATATGTTGGACTACAACTCTCAAGTACAAGAACACTGCTATAAAGAATAATTAGGATAACTTTGCTGGCTGAGAGTTATATCTAATATTTTTGCACAGAATGGCTATTGCAGTGGAAGCAAAGATTATGCATACTGTATTGGTTGGAGCCGTGTTAGGCATGTAGGCAGAACCAGAATTTTTCTGAAGTCTTCCTTTTGAAACTACATCATAGGGTAATCCTCACTAATTTCCTGCCTTAGAATCATGGGAATCCATGGTATTGTTTTTTTTAAGCAGGGGTAGATGGAGGAATATCTAAAGGCCACAGAAAAGAGATTCAGGTATGCTTTATGTGGTTTGGAATCTTAGGTTGCTAATCCTTGTATAAGATGATAGTCATTTAAATTGTCATTCAAATTTATAAATATTTATTTGCAGGTGCTATATTGGCATTTATGTTGGGATTATTCCATATATCTCTGGATGAATGTGAAGACCTTTACCGGAAATTAGGAACAGATGTCTTTAAGCAAAATGTCATTGTTGGAACAGTTAAAATGGGATGGAACCATGCATTTTATGACAGTGAAATATGGGAGAAAATGCTTAAGTAAGTTAATATTAAACTATTTGCCAATCATGTTTCCTTCAGTATAATCCAATGTATAAAACAGAACTCTTTCTCTGTTATATTAAGTAGATCTAAAAGATCTAAAAAAGGATAGTGTTTTTTATCAGATGTGGCCCTCCTTGTTTTATTTATTGGTGGCTCCTTAAAGAACCCACACCTTTTCCTAGGCTTGTACACATCAAGTTATGTGATCTCTTGGCAAATTCGTATTTCAGTTAAAGAGGCAACAACAGGGCAGCAACCCACCTAACACTATCATTTATCCTTGGTGTAAAAGTTTTTTTCTTATGGTTTTGTTCTATCATCTCTAAACCCATTTTATGGTTTAGATGTTTTTAGCATAAGTAGGCAGAATGTAGAAATAATTATGATAGACGCTCAGTTAACATAGGAACAAAGGAATGCATTAATCTTGTTTTTAAACATATTTACTAACTTTACAAAGATTGAATTATATCAGTACTCTAGCATAATGCTGTTCCTAAACCTGTGTTTCTCACCAAGGCTAGGGAGAAAGTGGTCACTCCCAGGTTAGGCCTCATGAGCCTCAGAGCCTTCTACTTACAATTCCCAGTTACCTTCTATTGCTAGAATGTAATCTGGGAGGTGATGCTTTATATACTCATCCTTTAATTATTAGTTCCATCATTTAATCATCATATGATGTCTCCTTAATTCAAACACAGATTTTGATTAATGTTGTAGAGATTTAAATCAAACAGTTGTATTAATTCAACTCTAGCAAACTGTATGGTTATATAATAATAATAATAATAATAATAATAATAATAATAATAATAATAATAATAATAATAAAAAAGTTGGAAGGGACCTTGGAGGTCATCTAGTCCAACCCCCTGCTCAGGCAGGAAACCCTATACCATTTCGGACAAATGGCTGTCCAGTCTCTTCTTAAAAACTTCCAGTGTTGGAGCATTCACCGCTTCTGGAGGCAGGTTGTTCCACTGGTTAATTGTTCTAACTGTCAGGAAAATTCTCCTTAGTTCTAGGTTGCTTCTCTCTTTGATTAGTTTCCATCCGTTGCTTCTTGTCCTGCCTTCAGGCGCTTTGGAGAATAGCTTGACTCCCTGTTCTTTGTGGCAGCCCCTGAGATTTTGAACACTGCTATCATGTCCCCCATTGTCCTTCTCTTCATTAAACTAGACATACCCAACTCCAGCAGCCGTTCCTTATATGCTTTAGCTTCCAGTCCTCTAATCATCTTTGTTGTTCTTCTCTGTACTCTTTCTAGAGTCTCAACATCTTTTTTACATCGCGGTGACCAAAACTGGATGCAGTATTCCAAGTGTGGCCTTACCAAGGCATTGTAAAGTGGTATTAATACTTCATGTGATCTTGATTCTATCCCTCTGTTAATCCAGCCCAGCACTGTGTTGGCTTTTTTGGCAGCTGCAGCACACTGCTGGCTCATATACTATACTTGTGCATTTGGTTTTTCTTGCCTAAATGTAGAACCTTGCTTTTTTCACCATTGAATTTCATTTAGTTAGATAGTGCCCAGTGTTCAAGTCTGTCCAGATCATTCTGTATCTTAAGCCTATCTTCTGGAGTGTTGGCTATTCCTGCCAGCTTGGTGTCGTCTGCAAATTTGATGAGTTCCCCATCTATCCCCTTGTCCAAATCGTTGATGAAGATGTTGAAGAGCACTGGGCCCAGAAAAGAGCCCTGGGGCACCCCACTACACACTTCCCTCCATGTAGATGCGGTTCCATTGAGGGCCACACGCTGAGTACGGCCAGTCAGCCAGCTACGGATTCATCTGGTGGTGATGCTGTCTACCCCACATTTTTCTATCTTGTCAAGTAGTAGGTTGTGACTTACTTTATCAAATGCCTTACTGAAGTCCAAGTAAATTATATCCACAGCATTCCTCTGATCCACTAATTTTGTCACTTGGTCAAAGAATGCAATAAGATTTGTCTGGCATGATTTGTTTTTGACAAACCCATGTTAGCTTTTAGTAATGACTTTGTTTGCCTCTAGGTGTTCGCTGATTCGTTGTTTGATTATCTTTTCCAGGATCTTCCCAGGTATTGAGGTCAGGCTGATAGGTCTATAATTTCCTGGGTCCATTTTTTTTTCCTTTTTTGAAAATGGGAACTACATCAGCTCTTTTCCAGTCCTCTGCTAGTTCCCCAGTGCTCCAGGATCTTTGAAAAATATAGTTCAGTAGTTCTGAGATCACATCTGCCAGTTTCTTGAGAACCTTGGGGTGTAATCCATCTGGTCCTGGCGATTTGAACTCGTCTAGGCTGGACTGGTGCTCATTTACCATTTTCTTGCCTATCTTAACTTGTGTTTCTATTCTGTTTTTTATGGCACTATTTTTGATAGGTTGGTCTGTTTTTTCCCTTTGTGTAAAGACAGATGCAAAAAACGAGTTAAATAGTTCTGCTTTCTCCCTGTTGCTTGTCACCTTCTTGCCACTTTTACCCACTAATGGACCAATCATTTCCTTCACTTTTTTCTTGTTTTTTTACATGTTGAAAGAAGCTCTTTTTGTTATTTTTGACTTTGGTCGCCAGCCTTAGTTCATTTTGAGCCTTGGCTTTTCTCACTTCATCTTTGCAGGCTCGGGCTATTTGCTGATATTTTGACTTAGTTATGTGCCCCTCTTTCCACTTTCTATACTTGTCCTTTTTATCTTTCAATTTGTCAGAGAGTTCTTTATGCAGCCATGCTGGTTTCTTTTGAGAGCTGTTATTTTTCCTCTTTGTTGGTATTATGCTAGACTGGGCTTTTATTATTTCATTTTTCAAAATTTCCCAAGCTTCTTGAGTTGTTTTCCCCTTGAGGATTTTCATCCCTGGAATCCTTCCCAAGCCCTCTCTAAGTTTATTGAAATTAGCTCTCTTGAAGTCCAAGACTCTAGTTTGACTGTGTTCTATTGCTTGTGCTTCCATAATGTTGAATTCCAATATTGCATGATCACTTCCTCTCAAGGTTCCTATGGCTTCAACACCTTCTATCATTTCATCTCTGTTAGTGAGAATTAGATTCAAAATGGCTAATCCCCTAGTTCCCTTCTCTACTTTTTGGGAGACAAAGTTGTCTGCTAGGTTTTCTAGGAACCTGTTTGATCTTCCACTTGGTGCAGAGTTTGTCTCCCAGTTGATGTCAGGGTATTTATTATTATTTATTTATTTATTACATTTATTTACTGCCCATGTTACTATTCAGAGTAATTTATGGAAATGAATTCGACAGCTCAGTTTTCTGAATATATGTCTAACTGCTATTTTTGAAAAATTAAGATTGTCACTACTTTAAAATGTACTATTTTAAAATAAACTTATCTGTCAAGAAAAGATGGTAATATTGAAATACTCTAATGAGTTATTATTTCTTTCTGTAAAAAAACTAAGAATAATAATAGATAGTACTAAGAATAATTTTACTGAACTGATTTTAAATCTCAAAGGCATTCAGTATTTTAAGTTCTTTTTTAAAAATCAAAACCATGGTATTAAAATTAAAATATGTATCATAAGCAATATAAATTATCCATTTCATAAATTGATTTTAATCAAGCTAGAGAAATGAATGCAAAAACTTGCTCCCTACCTGATTGAGAGCTGTAGTTCCTAAGAGGAAAGGCAGATAGAGCAAACTCTAAAACTGTAACCTTAGCAATTTATCTGGTTTGTATAGGGAACGAATGGGATCCGATATTATGTTTGAAACGGCAAGAAATCCTAAATGTCCTAAGGTAAGTTTATTTTCCTAAGGTATTTACTATTTTCTTTGAACTTGTTGCTATTTATTTTTAATCATGTCTTACAAAGTATTGATATCCATTCTCCCTTTTCCCTCCCTTTAAAAAAAAAAGATGAGCAGTTTCAAACAGTCTAGCAGGTTTTTTTATTAGTTTATAATATAAAATACAAAAGCAAATAATAAAAAAAATAGGGGAGGGAAAAGGGAAAGGAAAAGTGTAGAACAGAAGGGGAAAAGAAAGAAAAGGCATTGACTTCTGACTCCCTTTGGTGAAGTAGAATAAGATAATAATATCAAACCTCAACTTTTTACTTTTACATAATAATATAGTATTATGTAAATAACATAAACTAACCATTCCTATAACAACAAATCTATCTAATTGGTAAAACCCAAAATCAAAGTATCATTTTTTTCCACCTCAAGCACAAAGTCCAGAAGCAGTTTCCAAGTAGAAACAAAAGTAGTTGTGTTTTTTTGTTTAAACAAAGAGGCACGTGGCTGCAAAACTTTCACTGTTGACATCAAAGCAGTCAATTTAGCCATCTCTGCTAACATTGTCAACTTTTGCAGCCATTCATTCATTGTGGGAATCAAAATGTCCTTCCATATATATACCGTATTTTCCGGCGTATAAGACGACTGGGCGTATAAGACGACCCCCAACTTTTCCAGTTAAAATATAGAGTTTGGCCTATATCAGGGGTAGGCAACCCAAAACACTCAAAGAGCCACTTGGACACGTTTCCCACCGAAAACAAAACACTGGGAGCCGCAAAACCCTTTTGATATCTAAAATGGAGATAAGACTGCATATATCCTTTTTTTACCTTTATGATATGTGTGTGTGTGTGTATGTTTGTGTGTGTATATATAAAATAAAGGTAAAAAAGGATATATGCAGTGTTATCTTCATTTTAGATATCAAAAGGGTCTCTCTCTGTGTCTCTCTTTCCTCTCTCTTTCCTTTCTTTCCTCTCTTTCTTTCTCTTTCCTCTTTTTCTCTTTCCTCTAACTTTCTCTCTCTCTCTTTCCTCTCTTTCTCTGTCTCTCTCTTTCCTCTTTCTCTTTCCTCTCTTTCCTTTCTCTCTTTCCTCTCTTTTCTCAATCTTTTTTCTCTTTCCTCATTTTCTCTTTCCTCTCCCTCTCTTTCTTTCTCTCTTTCCTCTTTCTCTCTCTCTTTCCTCTCCTTCTCTCCCTTTCCTCTCTTTTTCTCTTTCCTCCACCTCTTTCTTCTCCCTCTTTATCTCTTTCTCTTTCCTCTCTCTTCTCTTTCTCTCGCTCTCTCTTTCCTCTTTCTCTATTTCCTCTCTCTTCTCTTTCTCTTTTTCTCTTTCTCTCTTTCCTCTAACTTTCTCTCTATCTTTCCTCTCTCTTTCTCTGTCTCTTTCTCTTTCTCTTCCTTTCTCTTTCCTCTAACTTTCTCTCTTTCCTCTTTCTCTTCTCTTTCCTCTCTTTCTCTTTCCTTTCTCTTTCCCTCTTTCCTCTCTCTTTCTCTCTTTCTCTTCTCTTTCTTTCCTCTTTCTCTTTCCTCTCTCTTTCCTCTTTCTCTCTTTCTCTTTCCTCTTTCTCTCTCTCTCTTCTCTCTCTCTTTCCTCTTTCCTCTTTCTCTTCTCTTTCTTTCCTCTTTCTCTCCCTCCAGGTTAGGAGAGAGAGAGAGAGAATGAAAGGCAGATGGCGCCGAACGGGCAGAGAAGGGAAGCAGGACGGGAGACAACAGCTCCCAGCCGCCGCCCCCATTGCGTCCTCAGCCGAACGGGCGGGGAGGCAGCAGCTCCGGCAGCGGACACTACAGCATCATCGGGGTCACCACCGCCGCCCCTGACCGGGCCGCCGCTCCCGCCGCATCCTCAGCCACTTCGCCTTCGCAAGAGGAGGGCGCCAAGGCCGGGTGCACCATGGGCGGCCGCGGCTATAACGGGGAGTGCCGCCGCGGGGACGAGGGGGGTCCCGATCGCCGCCAGCCCCGCCACCCTCGCAGTCCAAGGTCTCCTCCTGCAGCACCAAGGGCGGCGGCAGCTCCCCAAAAGTGGCCGAGGAAGGCGCCACCGATGGGGCCGGGCGGCGGAGAGCCCTGCGGCAGCCAGGCGAGCTTCATGCCTGACTGCCGCCCGGCCCGGGGAGAGATGTGGCCAGCTCGGCTTCCCGAGGTGCGATGCCCCCGCTGGCCGCCAGCCCAGCCATGACTGCCGCCCGGCCCGGCCTGGGGAGACATATGGCCGGCTCGGCTTCCCGGAGTGCAATGGTCCCGACGGCTGCCACACCAGCCATGACTGCACCCGGCCCGGCCTGGCCTGGCCTGGGGAAACATGTGGCTGGCTCGGCTGTATTTTCCGGCGTATAAGGCGACTGGGCGTATAAGATGACCCCCGACTTTTGAGAAGATTTTCAGGGTTTAGAAAGTCGTCTTATACGCCGGAAAATACGGTAGATATAGATAACCTTTATTGTCATTTTTTTACTGTGGGCACAACGGCACACATCAAAAATGAAGTTTAGTTGCCCGCTCTCTCAGTGAAACACATACATGACACACACCTAAACATACTATATACAACATATGTATAGACCCACACCCCTACATATACATAACAAATAAATATTAAATACTGTCCATCTTGAATATATAACGGAAGGAGGAAGCTTGAGAGTTCACAAGGTTAATGCTGTATGGAATGAAACTATGGCTGAATCTGGATGTTCTGCTATGGATACACGAAGCCTCCTCCCAGAAGGTAACAAGGAAAACAGGTCGTGAAGAGGATGTGTAGTGTCCCAGATAATCTTACGGACCCTGCTCAAGCAACGCTTCTGTGCTATGTCCTGGATGGGAAGGAGGGAACTGCCAATGATCTTTTCGGCCATTCTCACCACTCTCTGCTGCCTTCCTGTCTGAAGCAGTGATGCTTCCAAACCAGACTGTGATGCTGTATGACAGGATGCTCTCGATCGTCCCCCTGTAGACAGTGGTCAGGAGAGGGGAAGGAAGATTTGCTTTTCGTGCTTTTCTCATGCGACGACAGGGGAAGGAAGATGTGCTTTTCTTATCAAAGTTCCATTTTTTTTCCAAGTCTTTTTCCATTAAACCCAAAAGAAAAGTTTCTGGTTTTATCTTTATATTCACCTTAAGAATCTTCTGTATTAGCATATGAATCTACTCCAATATTTCTTTGCTTTATCACATGTCCACCATAAATGATAAAAAGTCCCATCTTTATATTTGAATTTCCAACATTCATTTGAAATACCTTTAAACATTCTTGACAACTTGTCTGGTGTTAAATACCACTTTATAATTTAGTGTAACTTTTAAATCTTTCGTCGACATAATCTCCCATTGTTCAAGCATTACATTATATCCAAAGTTCCTTGGCCACTGAATTATGCAATGCTTTACATATGCATTTTCCAAATTCAAATTCAATAACAATTTATAGACCTTAGCAATAATATGTTTATCGCTACCATGCAGTAGGATTTCCAATTCATTTTTAACAAAGTCAAACCCATAACTCTTTTTATCTAATTTAAATCTTTCTTTCAATTGTAAACATATAAACCAATGGCAGATATGTCCTTCTTATTCTAACTCCTCCTCAGACTTCAGAATTGGATCACCAAAATTAAAAGATATTATTTGACCATAAATCTACCAGTCCAGCTTTGCCATCATTTCTTTTCTGAAAAAAAGCTTCTTGGGTGGGACAACCCAAAAAGATATCTTCATAAAAAACCTTGTTTTATTTTTTTCCCAAACTCTTAGAATGATACGTCTAACAGTGATTATTAAAATCAACATTTACTTTAACCTTGCCATATCATAAATAACTTTGACATCCAAATCTCAATTCATGACCTTCTAGATCAAGTAGCCTCTTATTCTGGAGGTTCACCCACTCTTTTAGCCAGACCAAACAAGCATCAAAATACAATTTCAAACCTGGTAAACCCAAAGCCCATCTTTCCTTAGCATCTTGCAGTAATTTATATCTAATTCTTGGTTTTCCCCCCCTTGCCTTCTAAACTTAGAAATATTTGTCATTGTTTAAATAAAGTATTAGTTGCAAGTATTGGTAATGTCTGAAACAAAAAAAGCAACTTTGGCAAGACATTCATCTTAATTACAGAAATTCTACCCAATAGTGATAAATGCAGTTTATCCCATCTTTATAAGTCCTTTTTAATATCATTCCAGAGAGGTACATAGTTTTGCATTTGTGTTTGTCAATATGACCCCCAAATATTTCACTTTTTCTCAACTCTAAAACCAGACTTTTTAGTCAATATATTACAGTCCTGTGAGGTCATATTATTAATAAGCATTGTTGTTTTATTTTAAAGCCTGATAAAACCCCAAACTCATTTAATTTCCTCATCAAATATTCTATATTGTTTTCTGGATGTTGTAAGAATATAATTAAATCATCAGCAAATATCCTCAATTTATAAACTTCCTTTTTGATACTTATACCTGTTATTTTCTCATCTTGCCTAATATCTCTATTCAAAACTTCCAACACCAAAATAAACAAGAGAGACAAGAGACATCTTTGTCTCATACCCTTTTAAATTTCATATGAATTGTTTAGATCACTGGTAATAACAATTTTTGCTTGCTGTGACATATAAACTGCTTTAACCTCTTGATTTAAATTCTCCGCATAGTACATATCTTCCAAAACTTTAAATATAAAAGCCCAGTTTAGATTGTCAAAGGCCTTCTCTGTATCTAAAAATATTAAAGCTGCCTGTTTTTCATTATGATATTGTAAATATTCAATAGTGTTCAAAACAGTTCTCACATTGTCCCTTAACTGTCTTTTTGGCAGAAAGCCAGATTGATCTTCACGAATTTATGCCTGTAAAACCTTTAATCTTTCTGCCAGAACTGCAGCCAAAAGTTTATGTCATTGTTTAATAGTGAGGTTGTAATTCTTTATCTTTGTAACATCTTGCCTTCCTTCAGTAGTAACACAACATTAGCTTCTTTCC